CATTATAGCATTTAGTTGACATACACTTTCACTTTTTATACGCCATTATAGCATTTAGTTGATATACACTTTTACTTTTTATAAGCCATTATAGCATTTAGTTGACATACACTTTCACTTTTTATACGCCATTATAGCATTTAGTTGACATACACTTTCACTTTTTATACGCCATTATAGCATTTAGTTGATATACACTTTTACTTTTTATAAGCCATTATAGCATTTAGTTGACATACACTTTCACTTTTAATACGCCATTATAGCATTTAGTTGATATACACTTTTACTTTTTATAAGCCATTATAGCATTTAGTTGACATACACTTTCACTTTTTATATGCCATTATAGCATTTAGTTGACATACACTTTCACTTTTTATATGCCATTATAGCATTTAGTTGACATACACGTTCACTTTTTATACGCCATTATAGCATTTAGTTGACATACACTTTCACTTTTTATACGCCATTATAGCATTTAGTTGACATACACTTTCACTTTTTATACGCCATTATAGCATTTAGTTGACATACACTTTCACTTTTTATACGCCATTATAGCATTTAGTTGATATACACTTTTACTTTTTATACGCCATTATAGCATTAAGTTGACATACACTTTCACTTTTTATTATACGCCCACATGAAATTGTCGTCACCCATGTCCGTCGGTCCGTCCGTCCGTCCGTCCGTCCACAATTGCTCGTAAACACTCTACAGGGCACAATTCTTGACGGATTTTAACGAAACTTAGTATGTGTGTTCGCAATCACCCAAGGATAAACCCTATTGAAAATCAGCGAAATCGAAAAATATTTAGCATGAATTATTGCCCTTGTTAATTTTTAGCTCGTAAACACTCTAGAAGGCACAATTCTTGACAGATTTTGACGAAACTTGGTATGAGTGTTCGTTATCACCCAAGGATAGACCCTATTGAAAATCAGCAAAATCGAAAAATATTAAGTATGAATTATTGCCCTTGTTCTTGATAACGCGTTCAATTTTTAGCTCTTAAACACTCTAGAAGGCATAATTGTTGAAGGATTTTAACGAAACTTGGTATGAGTGTTCGTAAACACCCAAGGATAAACCCTATTGAAAATCAGCGAAATCGAAAAATATTTAGTATGAATTATTGCCCTTGTTCTTGCAAACGCGTTCAATTTTTAGCTCGTAAACACTCTAGAAGGCACAATTCTTGACAGATTTTGACGAAACTTGGTATGAGTGTTCGTTATCACCCAAGGATAGACCCTATTGTAAATCAGCAAAAATCGAAAAATATTAAGTATGAATTATTGCCCTTGTTCTTGAAAACGCGTTCAAATTTTTAGCTCGTAAACACTCTAGAAGGCATAATTCTTGAAGGATTTTAACGAAACTTGGTATGAGTGTTCGTAATCACCCAAGGATAAACCCTATTGAAAATCAGCGAAATCGAAAAATATTTAGTATGAATTATTGCCCTTGTTCTTGCAAACGCATTCAATTTTTAGCTTGTAAACACTCTAGAAGGCACAATTCTTGACAGATTTTGTCGAAACTTGGTATGAGTGTTCGTTATCACCCAAGGATAGACCCTATTGAAAATCAGCGAAATCAAAAAATATTTAGTATGAATTATTGCCCTTGTTCTTGAAAACACGTTCAATTTTTAGCTCGTAATCACTCTAGAAGGCACAATTCTTGACAGATTTTGACGAAACTTGGTATGAGTGTTCGATATCACCCAAGGATAGACCCTATTGAAAATCAGCGAAATCAAAAAATATTTAGTATGAATTATTGCCCTTGTTCTTGAAAACACGTTCAATTTTTAGCTCGTAATCACTCTACAGGGCACAATTCTTGATGGATTTTAACGAAACTTTGTATGAGTGTTTGTTATCACC